TGACAGAAGCTTCCGCAGTGCAACAGAATGACAGTGACAGAACAAAAACACAGATAATAAAAGAATAAAAAATAGAACAAGTAAATAAGAAATAACAATATATAAATTGACAATTGTATGTGCAGGTATATTACAATAGACAGTTTTGTATGTACAGGTACATTATGTGCAAATTTGAAGTGTAGACTAAGTATGCGTGTTAGATAAATAAGTGTATGAATGTATAAATAGTGTATGGGTGTAGTGTTGTGTGTTCCACAGTTATTGTCAAGTGTTCGTGAGATGGATGGCCTGAGGGAAGAAACTGTTCCTGTGTCTGGCCGTTCTGGTGCTCAGAGCTCTGTAGCGTCGACCAGACGGCAACAGTTCAAAGAGGAAGTGTGCTGGATGTGAGGGGTCCAGAGTGATTCTGCCAGCCCTTTTGCTCACTCTGGATGAGTACAGTTCTTGAAGAGAAGGGAGGGTTGTACCAATGATTCGCTCAGCAGTCCGGATTACCCTTTGTAGTCTTCTGAGGTCAGATTTGGTAGCTGAACTGAACCAGACAGTTATAGAAGTGCAGAGGACGGATTCAATGATGGCGGAGTAGAACTGTTTCAGCAGCTCCTGTGACAGGTTGAACTTCCTCAGCAGGCGAGTCAATGTGAGTGTCCCACTTCAGGTCCTGGGAGATAGTGGTACCCAGGAACCTGAATGACTCCACTGCAGTCACAGTGCTGTCCATGATGGTGAGTGGGGGGAGAGCAGGGGCGTTTCTCCTGAAGTCCCAGATCATCTCCACTGTTTTGAGCGTGTTGAGCTCCAGATTGTTGAGACTGCACCAGACAGCCAGTTCTTTATCCTAAATATCCTAAATGGTCAAAAATATAATTAATCATAATGTTAAAAAGTATTGGACTTATTACACTCCCTTGTGGAATACCATTTTCTGCCTTAAAACTGATGACTGACACGCTCCTACTTGTACTATAAATGTTCGTTCAAATAAAAACTGATTTGAAAAACTGAAAATTATACATTTTACCATCTATTCCTATCCTTGATGCTTTAATTAACAACCCTTCTCTCCATATTGTGTCGTACGCTTTTTCTATATCAAAATATACTACTGCCATAATTTCTTTCATTTTTATTGCCTTCTCTGTTTCGTTACTGACTTTTATTAATGCATCCATTGTTGATCTTTTACCTCTGAATCCACACTGATATTTACATAATTTACCCTTCTTTTCTAACTCGTAAGATAATCTATGAACTATGATCTTTTCCATTAATTTACATACGTTTGAGGTTAAAGCAATTGGTCGATAACTTCCTGGGTTTGTTGGATTTTTACATATTGGGGTTTAGTGATATTGTTTCTTATGACACCGATAGAAGGCTTCCTGAAGGGGGCGCGTGGGGGCTCAGAAAGCGAATCCTCGCTCAATCGCATTCAGATCATATAATCTTTTCTTTTAAATCATTTGTACACTTGAAGTATGATAGATTACAAATTGTTGCTTATAATGGTTAGTACATTTCATACGAACAGGATATTTTCCGAGTAATATCTATAAAAATATTTTTAAATCATAATTTATTTATCACAGACGCCTGTGATTGGCCCATCCTTACCAGTGCTGAAAAATGTAACGGGTAACAGGTGATAACAATGCGCGTGTGCTTGGATAATAATAATAGATGTTTGGATAATAATTAAAACCCATATAATGACAATAGCTTAAATAGATAATAAGCTTAAAAACTACACACTGAAGAGTTCTAAATAGGAGAATTATTATTTAGCAGGGCCGCTAAGCTCCGCCCATTGCATAACTCTGTTAGATGCTACTGTTCTATGCGCGTATTCTATTTCTATAGCATGCTTACAGCAGTAGGCTTTTCTTATAGCGCCACCGGCCGGTGGATATGAAAAGAATAGTGTATTTTTTTTAATGAAACAACAAAGCACAACGTATAACAGGATGACAGTAATAAAGTAAATGATGAAAAAATGCAAA